TTGGCTCCAGACTCCACTAATGGTAAGACTTTTGGCGCTCCCCAAAACTTTTGGGTTAGTTTCAAGTTTTAGCCAAACCCCCACTCTGCCAGTGCCAGCGGTATCCCAATAATAAACCCACACTCTACGTTCCATAGACAAAAACCTAGAGAAACACTCTCTCGCATTCATCCTTTCTTCCCCCGACGACCCTCGGCCACTCCGCCTGCCTCACCGTCGACCTTGCCTTTTGCTCCCCGAAATGCCCTTACGATGCCCTCTCAGGTACTCCTTGGCCTCTTGCATTCTCGGCCCTTTCTTCTCGATGGGCTCTCTCGGTTTTCACTCCTCCTCTTTCAAGAGTTTTGGATGGTTTGGTCTCGATTTCATCCATTAATTGCAGATTTGGGGTTGACATTTCAGCTTTGGGTGAATTGTGGGTAACTGATCAAATTGTGGACTATTTTTTTTTTCTAAATCAAACCTTTCGCCTTCCAATTGAACTTGGATTTGATCCCCCTCAAATCTCAATGATTTGTAACATCTTTCTATACTCAAATTGGGCTTGTATGTTTGATTGATTGCTGAATTCCTAAATTGGAAAATTAGGGTTCCGCATCGAGACGATTGAGGGTTCTGAGCAATCGCACGAATTAAAGTTTTCCCCTTGATAGTATATTTAATGTTTCGGGTCTATGTGAGGCTTTTTCCTTTACTGAATGCCAATGCTTTTACATGATGTTCATGAATGTTTCTGTAGTTAGACATGCTTCCTGCATGGGTGTTGGCTGCTCTGATTTTTCTTAGAACCAGTACATCATACGTGTACTTACATTTTGCTGCTGATGTACTGTGGTTTCTGCACAAATTTTACATTTTGTTTCATGGTGGAGAAGCTGTAATTCGAGGTAAAGCTCAGTCATAATGAGGATGAACGAATACCAAATCCATTCCGGATTTGGTGAAAATGACATAGGAGAAGCTCTGTCTTGTCCTCTGCCTCTCTAAATCTGAGGCTTGTGAATCTTTTTGTTGCCACAGGAGTTGGAAGCTTTGGCAGACCTCATGAGGAAAGAAGTATCTTGTGAGGAAGAAGATTGATTCAGTGGATAAAAAATTCAAGCCACTGGGACAATCAGTCCAGAAGAAGGTATAGATATAATAGATTGGATGTTTTTGTTCGTTAATATATTGGATAATTGCTACCTTATCACAATAAGTTATTGCTTTTGGGTTGGGTTATCTTCCTGTTATGAAGTCATGCTAGATAAAGATTTGATAAAGGCCCTCTGCCTAGACTGCAGAGTTGGTGATTGCTTTTGGAACTAGGATGAGTTTCATTACATGTTGTCCCAGATTAGTTGCTAGGAGAATTTAGCTCCCAAGTGGATGAATGAAAGTTAGCTTATAAAGCTGCCACTTGCTCAATTTGTCATGTTGTCACTGAAAATAAATGCAAGGCTTCTTATGGAAGCCAACTTAAGGGGATAATGGCACCACTTTGGCTTTTGTAAATACAAGATTTCAAGGTCATATTGAACCTTGTAGCATGATATATATTGGTGCTCTGCTTGTGCTTCTGAATGGCCGATGGATTGTGTGCTTGATTCAGTGAGTTGTGAGGCTCTTGTTTTTTGGTTCTCATTATTTGTAGAAGCCCCGTAGAAAACTCAACTTCCATGCACTATAGATGTGTTTTTTCCATTAAGCGTACTAAATCTAAGCTATTCCAGGTATTAGAAGTTGGATTGGAGTTCAACTAACTTTTCATTGAGGGCTGATATTTTAATTAGACCCTGATTTCTTCTCTGACGCATCAATAGTATAGTTGAGAGAATTCCATACTTGATTAACCAAATCATCTTTACAATTATAATATTGCTACCTTGTTATGTTTCTTTTTCTTTGTTCCATCCTTTGAGTTCAAGTTTGATATTGCCATTCTCTATTGATGAAGATGATCACATCATACAAGGTTATATAATATTGGTAATTTTTTATATTGTTATTCATGGCAGATACAATGGTGCAGGATGTCTCAGATGAAGTCCATGGAACATATTTTTTTTGTACAAGAAGGATGAAATTTCGAAGTTAACTCTAGATAGACAATTGTGATGTTCGCTTGAGAACCATAGAAGTAATAATTAGTTAGCTTATTGAGGAGATCTAGGTATTTAGCTATTATTGTGATATAGATTGTAAACATTATAAAATTATTTATAACAAGATATGAGACTTTCGATTGTTGATAATAATATTATTTTGTTGTTATTTATTGGCAAGAAACTTTTAGACTTGATTTCTATAATTAGTAATTAAAAAATTCATAATTAATCATATAATATTCCGTGACTAGTGATTTTAATTAGCTAGTCAAATACCGTGACTAGTGTTTAGTATTTAGGCACGGGAGAACCAATGACTACATGTAGTAAATACCGTGACTAGTGATTGAAGTCTAGTCACGGGAAGCAGTTAGTCACGGTACTCACTACTAGTCACGGTACACAATTAGTCACAGAGCTTTATATTACGGTAAATTTCCTGTGACTAAAACTATTATTCACGGGAAACATGCTTTTAAACACAGGATTTACCATGATTAAAGAACATTTTTCTTGTAGTGGCTCTTGGTACCTCATTACAATTTCATAGGTTCTAGATGCACAATCACAGTAAAGAATAGGCAGATAACTCTGATATTCATCCCACAACAACTTCAAATCAGTATAATAGTGCCTAATTATTTGATTGCCTTTCTTAGTTAGGTCAATCTTCTCCCGCAGATTGGCTATTCTCACAGAATCACCTTGAATGAACTTCAATTTAAGGAAGGTCCATGCATCTGAAGCAACTTTGATATTTCTCGGACTAGGCACAATATCATCTAATACATAATTCCTACTCCAACAAACTAATGTGCCATTCACACGATCCGAGGTGCCATAGGAAGGATCTATTATAGGAGGTACTTATATTGTGCCCAGAACAAACCCTAGCTTGTTCTTTGTACGAAATGCTACCTCCATTGACTCACTCCACAGGAGGTAGTTGTCGTCATTCAGCTTGAAACCAATCACTGATAAAAATGAGTTGTCACACTGAGCCAAATAGAAAGGATTAGAGTATGGGTCTTCATAACGAGGTGAGGTAACCTCCTTCTCCTTCTCAGATGTGCCACCTCTAGGAGTCTCGGAATCATACATTGGAAAGAACTAAGAATAGAACAGAGAAATGGGTAACAAAAAGGAATTTGAATTTAAGGCAAAAGAACATAAATCAGTAGCCAACCAGGCTCTGATACTATGAGAAAGTTCTTGACCTAACAGCCATGAAAGCTAGAGTTAGAGTAAAACGAGATAGGCTTTTGGTGGAATGCTGCGAGTGACCTCTCGTTCCTTTTCTGCAAACATATATACATCAGTTCTGCAATTACCTATTTGCTTAAACACTGTTCTAACAGTTATTAACAACTAACAAAATGAATACGCCTATCATGCAAGGACAAGTGTCCTAATTACAATCAATCTGAAACGTGTCGTTGTAGGGAGTAAACAACACCGTCTTCTTATTCACTTACAGGCCTTTGGCCCAACCGGGACAGATTAAAGGAAGTCGAACCCGAGCTCCAATCCTGAACCGAAATGGATTGAATCTACCTGCACATCTTCTTCTTCCTCTCTTCAGCAGAGTGCTGCCTCCATCAGTTCCTTCGTCTTCAGCACTTGAACACTATGCTTCATAGTTTCATTTTCTGAACAATGTGAACGTGGTGGTGGGGGAGGAGAGTATGTTCTACGCGATGGCGGTCGCTAGCAACAGACGGGTGGTGAAGTGCATGTTGATGCATATCTCTGTGAATTTGAAGGGATGAGAAGAGATAAATAGAAGGGACGAATGGGGAGCCGATTTCCAAATTGCTAGCTTGGAGAAATCGATTGGGATGATTGGGACTGTCGTATCAAAATCGATTGGAACTGTAGTGGAGAAATCGATTGGACGATTGGGACGACCTGGTTGGCTCTCTCAATAAGAAAGATAGAAGATGAATCTCTGTCGCTCGTAGTGGTGAATCTCTCGATCTGCTTGCCAAAGATGGTGATTTCGCTTGGGAGCGGGCAGTTTGCGTCGATTGGTGGCTTTTTTTTGGAAAATAATTTAATTAATTGAAATTTTTTTTTAATAAATTACACATATTGCTTAATTGGTACTTATGTGGCATCTTACGTGACTGACATGTAGGCACCATGTCATCGTAGTCAAACACACATTTGACCACCGTTAGGTCAACTATCAAACTTAACGCTAAAGTCTAAACAAAATATTTGGCCTACAATTACCTAAAACCTCATACTTAGGAACATTTATGTCATATTGAATACTTTATAACATGAGTGACATTTTTTTATAGTTGAGATATTCTAGTGGAATTAGCCCTAAAAATAATATGGTACAAGACCGTATAAACAGCGGCGGATCTAGGGGGGGCCGCCCCCGGGCCACGGCCCAGCCCTCCCTCGATCCGGAGCTAGTATAGCACTTGTAAATTTTCGGTTTTTGGTGTTCGTTTCGGTGTTCGATTCAGTGTTCGTCGTGTTACGGCCCAGCCTTCTCTGCTTTTTTCCAATGTGGCCCAGTGCTCTACCCAATCCTGGATCCGCCGCTTCGTATAAACACATTATAAAATGTTGTTATGCTACTAATAAAAATGGTCTTGATTCTAGTGCCATAACACCACTTATTTTATATATTTAATACCATCCTTTTCCAACCTTGAGCTTAATATGATCCGCCCTAAGCTTGATCTGTTTGCATGCACCCACCCACCCACTCACTCACTCACCCACCCTTAGTTCTTCCCCAGGACAAGAAGCAAAGAAATAGGTTGTTTGACAAGGCCAATACTATGGTGCCGCTATTAAAAATGCGGCACTGATAATGCAGCTTCCTATTGGTCCACGTGGCTATGACGTGGCATTGGTCTGGGTTAAACAGATTTAATTCAAACCCTTTGATCCATTGGACAGCCCAAACCGCAGCCAGTGAATGGGACGAAATAACGTCTCCGTCCTCACTCAGCCGTTTGGAAAAGGGAATAGCGAGAGCCGAGAGTCGTCTTCCTCAATCGGTTGCTTCATCTTCTCGACATCGACCTACTACTTGCTCAGTCGCAAAACCTTCTGCTCGACATTACCCTCATTATCGGCGGCAGCTCCTCCGGCCGTAGCTCGCATCTCCTCCGACGTCCAAGCTCAAGATCGTCTCCTTCAGTGGCCTTGGCATCATACATCTCCGCCTCCCGCTCCCCGCACCGGGCCGCTGTCCCAAATCCATGTCGTTGTGTCGCACTCCAGACGGCCACCGTTGCCTGTCGCACGAATGTAAAACGACCATCGGTGTCATGAATTAAATGGTTGACATTGAGAAGAACAAGTATGAAATAGGGGGAGGGGATGGGCAGAATAAATGACACATAAGAGTTTTTCCAGAAGAACAAGTATTGGTTGCTATTGATAACTTCTCAGAAGTTATCAAGCTAGTAGAAAGTGGATTTGGGCCTGTCTAGAAGGTTGGTGATTCGCCCTTTTGATTTTAGGTTACAAATTTGCATTCTTTATCTGACTTTGCTAGGTTGCTTTCTTTGGCTTATTGAGAGGGTAGCTTTATTCTGTTAGCAGGGAAATTTGAGTGGTGATGAAATGACAGCAATGAAGAGGCTTTCCAAGTAACGTGGACAAGGTTTAGAAGAGTTGAGGAATGAGTTGAGGCTCATTGCCAAATTGCAGCCTCGCTATCTGATTTGGCTCTTGGGATGCTTTGTGGAAATAGATGAGAAGCTACTGAACCATCGCTTGGTAGTTTGCTTCCTTCAGGGTTCTGTTTTGCAGACTGTTGGATAAGATCATATAGCCTTAGTGAAGTTCTAGGTACTTTTGTGTGAAAGATTGGGAGACTATAATACCGATTGTTCATTTCTGTGTTATTACCAACTTGAATTATAGCTAGTAAAGCTTTGAAATGGTGTTTGTCCACTTTACTTGCTAGAAGGGAAAAACATGCAGAAGCTCATTCCATAGCCATTTTACTTGGCCATGCTTCGTGAATAACTTACAAGAATGCTAAGCTCAATACCAAAAGTTACTGGTTTATCTCATTTGCACAAGGATTGAAGTAAAACATTACGTTAAGAATGGAACACTAATCAACCAACAGTGTGGTCGGGCTTTATAAACATAAGTCAGATTAAACTCCTTTAGATATCAAGTTAATATTAACATTTGTTGTACATGCAACTCAATTACTCAACTCCGAACTTATTAAAAGTCACCAATTGAAGCATGAAGACCTATCTGAAAATACAATAGGATCAAGAACAGGGAACTGAAATACATATGGGTAACTAAAACCTCACCGATGTACTAGTCAAACGAAAGTAAATGAAAGGACAACCCTAATCCCTCCCAAATACAAAAAAAAAATACCCAAATCCCAGAACTAATTGTAGCTAGGTAGTTCACATCTTCGTAAGAGCAGGAGTGAATGATCTTTCTGTGGAAAGGCAACTTCTTATTGTATCCATCCTCACAACTTCTGTTAGGCATGCCTTTCTTTTGAGGAGTGAATGATCTTCTGCAGTGACAGTCCATCTGCAAGTCACTTTCCTACTCTCCGATCTATCATTCATCACACCAAAATGGTTGAACATAAAAGTGAATTCTTTCACCAACTGATTAACTTCAACATCTATCTCCACCAACAAACAAGCTTCATCATCTAGCCTCTGCATTGGTGGAGAAATGCGCTCAACACCTAGAACTTGGTTTTGGCGATTCTAACAGGGACGATGCAAAGCTAGGCGTACGGTACTGAGGGAGGCAAATATCTTCTTCTTTGATTTGTGATAGTCTGGTATTTTGGCGGCGATGCTATTCCACGAAGACAGAGGTCGAGGACGACGAGGGATTCTTTTGTCTTTGTTATACATAATCAATGTAGGAGGGAGCGGTCAAGGGGTCTCAATCTAGGCGATAGGTAGACCCGGGAGATGGGATCGATGACGGACAAGTCACCGGGAGGGATTATGCAGAGGCTGCCGACGAAGGAGATCGATGAACTGTGCTTCTGATCCGTTTGGCGTCAATCCTAGTTCTCTAATGTTGCCGTTACTTTGGACAGGCCGTTTGGGCTATTTCTAACGGGCCATTTAGGTTTGGTTGAGATTAATTAAACAAACCCAATGCCAAATCACAGCCACGTGGACCAATAAGAAGTCGCGTCACCGATGCCGCACTTTTTACTGCGGCACCATAGTATTGGCCGTTTGACAAAACCAGGCCGTGCGAGCATGTGAAGCCCGCAGAAAATTGGGCCAACAGTTGAAAACGAGCCCAGCGAACATGTGGAGGGCCCATGCGTGCTTCCCAGATTCAACAAAAAGGAAGAAGGAAAGCACCAGGAAGATGGGGATTGGATTTTATCAGTAAAATTAAATTAATCAGATAACTCAGATTGAATATTATAGGAGTGGGGCGGCACGCAGTCTTCTTCTTCTTCTTCCCTAAACACGAAGGCGTTATCCAATCCAAGAATCCACCGCCCAGACCTCAAAGAATTCAACCATAATAACTACCAACCAACGGCCACACACCAACGGACACTTAACTACCTACGTAGCTCGATTGCTAGGCAGGGTCGCCGTGTCATATGCGTGTGCAGCAAGTCAAACCTAACAAATTAGAAAGCATATAGAATAACTAAAGGAATATCCCAATCCCAAAGGTCAGGGCGTGATTTAGTACTCGATCTTCTGAGAATCCCGCTCCTTGACTAGCTAGCTAGTAGCTCCTCGTAACACCAACTTCCAATATTATAGGGATGGCAACCGGTATGGTCGTGGCGGATAGTGCATATCCATTATTCTACTCAAAGTAATTCAGATTTTACCCATACCTATACCCACATAAAAGTTGGGCAAAAAATCAAGTAATGTACATACCTGTTTGATTTTCTACATTTCGGGTATTCACGGTTATCCATCGATAATAAGTTCTCTTTATAACTCCGAACAACATGTTAATATTCATATGTATACTCACATGACATAAGTGGAAAAGTACGACAATAATTTACTAGAATGAAGAAAATTAATTAAAAACCATGCAATTTCATGAAAAATATTATACTTGTATGTTGAATATAAAATATGTATAGAAAAATAATGATCATTTCTAGACAAAACACATATGTATGTGTGTAATCGGGCGGGTTCAGGTAAGATAGTAAGAAAAACATGCCCACCCATTATCCGCAATATTCGGGTTCATATTTTACCCGTACACACTGAAAACTCTTCGGGTTCGGAGTTTACCCTAGTCTATTAGATCGAATTCGGGCGGATGTCCACGATTGCGGATATTTTCGCCATCCCTAGTTATTATTTAGGGTTTAAACCATGATTGTTAAATCGTATCGAAAAAACTAGCCGTATGATATTTTGTGTCGAAATCGTGATTTAAACATGTCAAAAACTGTCTACACGATTTACATTCCCATAATAAGAAAATTCCCGTTCGGACCTTTAATAATTAATACAATACGAATTTAGAATCACAATTGTTTTTTTTTTTTTTTACGGGGACGTGGGACTAGGTGGCTGACCTAAACAGGAAACCCACCCACCATCCAAGACCCAACTGGAGCACAAGGAAACGGTGGATGGATGGTGAAATTGTGGCTGAAGCTGCCTATAGCTTGCTTGCACCGACAGCTTTCAACAGTTATAATATTGAGATGACCGACCGACCATTCCTTTTCTTACACTAAACAACTGTTGTTGTTGGCATGGGATATTAACTAAATTAATATCGACGTGCATGGAATGGATTTGGTGACTTATTAATTCATGTGGGGGGCTCCCTCACTTTCCTCCTTGACTTTGTAATTGGACGTATTGGATCCCACATCTTAATTAACCGCGAAAACTTGTGGTTCATTCATGTAAAGATAGATCAGAATACTGGTAAAGCTCAAATTCTTCCGATTCACACCAGAAATAAAATGCAAGAAAAATGACAATTGCATTTCACTAGGAAACCTAATCTAATAGTACCTAACGCTATCTCTAATCTTCACCAACTTAGCTTCTTTTTCGAACTCGTTATTGTAGTAGTTAATCACCTGCACATACTCAAATTTACTAGGATTTTCATGTCGTCTTGACCTTTGCTTTTCTTTAACTCCTTTTATTTTTCCGTGGTGGTAAAATATATATGAAAAGGCAAAAACAATACTCATTTTTATTGCTAAAAAGAAAAAAATTTAACAATAAACTAATGCATGGATTCTAATGGGCTAACCGCTAATCATAAAATAAAAGAGTTGAATGGGTCTGACCTTCATGGGATTTGCCCATCAAGTAAAACAAATGAACATCATGGGTTTGTCATTCTAAAACAAGCTATTTTCTCTAGCATAATATAGTGTAATGATTAAATTATTTTATATCTTAGTGGCTAAAATATAATGTATTTTAAAGTTATTCAGTGGTTCAACCTCGACCAACCCAATTAGTCCAATTTTTATCATTTCAAATATATATTATGTAATTATTTGATATCATAATATGATTAAATTATAGTGTATATTTAAGGAATCGTTTGGTACTTGTTAGTAAAAAACTAAACATAAAGATCTATTTGGTTATTTTTAACATTAAAACGATCCTAAACATTTTCAGTTTCCTTTCGAAATTCTATAGTTTTATTCCCGAATCAGTGATTTGCAAATGGAGAATTGCAGTCATCTCTTTTATTTCATTATTTTTTATTTTCAAATATAAAGTTTAAAAGTAAAGAATAATTAGAGTTTGGCATGGGTCGGTCAAACAGGCTGAATTTCAAGTTTTGGCCCATTTTGATCAAGTCTAATTTATAATCACATGGTTCCCTGATACCCGATAGAAATCTCAATCCAAACCAGTTTGGCAAGTGAGTTCGTGTTTACCACCATTTTCTAGGGATAGAAGAACGGTGGTTCTTATCCCAAATCGTGTTGTTCATTCTTGATTTCTTTAGATTTTATCATGGCTTGGCAAAAAACCAGAAAGCACAATGATGACAAGACGAAAGTTTTATAAAGCAAATTAATCGGGCAACGGGCCGAGTAAAAGCTAGCAACGATTGTGAGATGCTCATTTCCCGAAAACCGGCGGGATAGGCGATTTTTTATTCGAATTTCTGGAATTCAGTTTCTATAAAACTTACTCCACCTCATCATTTTACCAGAAACAATATTGTTTCACAAGGTAACAAGTACTTGATTTTGGTTCATAAGGCTGATTTTTGATTCGTTACATCATTCATGTCTCTTTCCTACTAAAATTCACTATTTTTATCACGTGTTTCCCATAAAAAAACTATACAACAATAAGCTATACACCCCATTACATTATCAAATTTAATACCTCACCTTCCTCCGGCCAAATGGTTGGGGCCCACGCTAGTTTTATTAATGCATCATGGGCTCAGAATCTAAAACCGGTAAAAGAAACATTGGCGGTCGAGACACCCAGTCTTCCTGGGTATCCCAATTACAAGGTGTATGGGCTAAAAGATGGGCCGCCCCATTACATTCCCTCTTTGAAAATTTCCACTGGATTGAGCCCAACCTCATCGCTTCTGTTTGTAATTCTTGAATCAGAGCACCAGCCTCCAACCTCGTCACCTCCGCTTTTTCCAGAGCGAGAAATGCGCTCTGGCAGTCCATTTCAATAATGGTTGCTTGAAATCCATACCTCTCCACTTGCTTCAATCCGAAGGCAATCGCTTTTATCTCGGCCAGCTCTGGGGACCATTGGACGCGCTCCCTGCAGACCGCCGCCATCAAGAAATGGCCATTCTCATCGACCGTCCCGAAGCCTGTTCCTTCGTCTTTTAGAACAACATCGTCCATATTCAATTTGATCC